CAAAGCGCTGGCAAAGGGCTAAAGCTGCACGGAGGGTTTTGGGGCCCTGGTGGAACGTGCTTCGCGCAGGTTTTGAAACCCTCCAAATGCAGTATTTCGACCTGGCAAGGCAAGGGCTAAGGGCGATGGCAAAGCGCTGGCAAGGTGGGCTAAAGTTGCACGGAAGGGTTTCGGGCCCTGGTGGAACGTGCTTCGCGCAGGTTTTGAAACCCTCTTAAATGCAGAATCCCGACCTGGCAAGGCAGGGGCAAAGGGCGAAAGGTGCACAGGAGGGTCTCGTGTCCTAGTGAAACGTGCCTGGCACGGGCGTGGAAACCGTCTAAATGCAATATTCGACCTGGCAAAGCGCTGGCAAAGGGCCAACGCTGCACGGAGGGTTTTGGGGCCCTGGTGGAACGTGCTTCGCGCAGGTTTTGAAACCCTCTAAATGCAGTATTTCGACCTGGCAAGGCAAGGGCAAAGGGCAAAGCGCTGGCAAGGGGCTAAAGCTGCCCGGAAGGGTTTGGGGCCCTGGTGGAACGTGCTTCGCGCAGGTTTTGAAACCCTCTCTAAATGCAGAATTTCGACCTGGCAAGGCAGGGGCAAAGGGCGAAAGGTGCACAGGAGGGTGTCGTGTCCTAGTGAAATTTGCCTGGTGCAGGTGTGGAAACCGTCTAAATGCAATATTCGATCTGGCAAAGCGCTGGCAAAGGGCTAAAGCTGCACGGAGGGTTTTGGGGCCCTGGTGGGACGTGCTTCGCGCAGTTTTTGAAACCCTCTCAATGCAGCATTTCGACCTGGCAAGGCAAGGGCAAAGGGCGAAATGCAGAATTTCGACCTGGCAAGGCAGGGGCAAAGGGCGAAAGGTGCACAGGAGGGTTTCGTGTCCTAGTGAAACGTGCCTGGCGCAGGTGTGGAAACCGTCTAAATGCAATATTCGACCTGGCAAAGCGCCGGCAAAGGGCTAAAGCTGCACGGAGGGTTTTGGGGCCCTGGTGGAACGTGCTTCGCGCAGGTTTTGAAACCCTCTAAATGCAGTATTTCGACCTGGCAAGGCAAGGGCTTATAAGGGCGATGGCAAAGCGCTGGCAAGGGACTTAAGGCGCTGGCAAAGGGCTAAAGCTGCACGGAGGGTTTTGGGGCCCTGGTGGAACGTGCTTCGCGCAGGTTTTGAAACCCTCTAAATGCAGAATTTCGACCTGGCAAGGCAGGGGCAAAGGGCGAAAGGTGCACAGGAGGGTTTTGTGTCCTAGACCTGGCAAAGCGCTGGCAAAGGGCTAAAGCTCCACGGAGGGTTTTGGGGCCCTGGTGGAACGTGCTTCGCGCAGGTTTTGAAACCCTCTAAATGCAGTATTTCGACCTGGCAAGGCAAGGGCTAAGGGCGATGGCAAAGCGCTGGCAAGGTGGGCTAAAGTTGCACGGAAGGGTTTCGGGCCCTGGTGGAACGTGCTTCGCGCAGGTTTTGAAACCCTCTTAAATGCAGAATCTCGACCTGGCAAGGCAGGGGCAAAGGGCGAAAGGTGCACAGGAGGGTTTCGTGTCCTAGTGAAACGTGCCTGGCACAGGTGTGGAAACCCGTCTAAATGCAATATTCGACCTGGCAAAGCTCTGGCAAAGGGCTAAAGCTACACGGAGGGTTTGTTTTGGGGCCCTGGTGGAACGTGCTTTGCGCAGGTTTTGAAACCATCTAAATGCAGAATTTCGACCTGGCAAGGCAAAGGCAAAGGGCGAAAAACAAACATATTCGACCTGGTAAAGCGCTGGCAAGGAGCTGCACGGAAGGGTTTCGGGCCCTGGTCGAACGTGCTTCGCGCAGGTTTTGAAACCCTCTAAATGCAATATTTTGACCTGGCAAGGCAAAGGCAAAGGGGGAAGGTGCATAGGAGGGTTTCGTGTCCTAGGGTGGAAAGCGTCGAAATGCAAGATACGACCTGGCAAAGCGCTGGCAAAGGCTAAAGCTGCACGGAAACGGAAGGGTTTCGGGCCCTGGTGGAACGTGCTTCGCGCAGGTTTTGAAACCTTCTAACTGCATTATTTCGACCTGGCAAGGCGCCGGCAATTGGGCTGCAGAGGGGTGCTTCGCGCTGCGCGGGATGGTTTCGTGACAGACGTGGACAGGAGAAAGGGCATGAGGCGACAGACATAGCCAGGAAGATGGCCTTGGCTGATGCTGCACACCTGCGGTGATCCCAGGCGCCGCCCCGCCTACGCCAAGGCTAGGCAGGGGGCGGCGGATATATACCATTAATATCCATTAATTCCCATTATAGAATCTCCCATTACTTTCCCATTTATTTCCCTACTATATGTACCCCCATTCATTTTCTATTAATTCTATTTTAATCTACTAAAACTTGTTTGAGTATACAGTATATCCTATGAATCTCCCGTGACTTTCCCCACGATATCCCCATCATAGGCCATTTTTTGCCGGTGAAATGCTCCATTTCAGGAGCCGAGAACCTGCCGGATCTAGGTGGTTTAAGCAGCTCTCAGCTCGAAAGCTTGGAGGCGGGGCGCTTGGGTTGAGTGTTGAAGCAGCCAAATTAGAGGCTTTCCGGAGGAAAAAACGATTTGAACCTACACATGTATGAAATTTGGGTGGCCTTCCGAAGCGCCAATTGGGGTTGAACCAAGCAAAATGAGATTTCAAGCAGTAAGAAAGGGGGGTTTGGACAGCAAAGATGTGGTATTGACCACGAAAAAAAGATGTCAATCAAGTCTTGACTAACTAAAGTGGGGTTTCAACCACAAAAGCTACCGAATAGACCAAGTAGGTGTCTCGCCACTCACAAATTTGGCTGCATCTCATTTCAACCTCAGTATGATACCCTTCTATTTTGGGGGGCTAAACAATTTGAGCCGACATGCATAGGATATGAATGAATATCATGGGCGCATGGACCTACCTGGAGGATCATCCGAATCGTAACTGCTTAGATCTGCTTAGTAAGCTTGTGCCTGGTTGGTACGCCCCCGATCCGTGGATGATTCCATCTATAAATGGGCTATAAGGCTATAATTGTGTTTACCAACAACTTAGTAAGTGGGATGATCCCCCTAAGTAGCCATCCAATCTTTGTGAAGCAACAGCCATCTTGGGGCCAGTTCTGGGCCCAGACAAACAAGACTCAAGAACAAATACCCAACCATTTGGGGCTTCTTTTTCTAGGGGTATACCCAATGTCAGACATAAAAATCACAAAAAATGAAGATATGATATGACCTGATATTAAACAATTACTACTATTGGCTTTATGACATTACTGTAGCAACTGCCTCTCGATGCATTTCCATGATCAGCTCCGGGATGTCAGGCAGAGCTGAGTAGAGGTCTCATGTGACTGAGCTCAGATACTGAACTGATCTTCATTCCCCGAAATAAATTTGGTATCAAAAATTTGACCCATCCCCATTTTTTTAGACGACAGCAGGCGACCTATGCGAGAGGTGGTCTGCAGAAGTACACGGAATTACATGGAACTACCTTCGGCCAGAGCTTTTGGGGCATGATGAATTCGAATTTCTGAGATTGGTCCATGATTGGGCCCATGAAAACCCATGATTGGTCCAGGATTCCAAAGTTTCCCTGAAAACCAGCGAGGTCGAGATCCGAGACAGAGAGGCCGCGTGCAGGCGAGCTGGAGATGGCTCAAACCACTACCGCCAAAAACGGGGATGTTTTTTTTTCCCGGAGTTTACTACCAACACCCTTGAGGAATCTTGAGGACTTTTCAAATCTTTTCAATTTTCCCATTGGTAAATCCACCATTTTTGGGAATCAGGGAATCAACTTTTTTCCCCACCTGCCAGGTGAGGGTTGTTAGATTTTATGTCAGTTGCCTCCTCCTCCTCCTTCTCCTCCTCCTCCTCCTGCTCCTCCTCCTCCTCTCCTCCTCCTCCTCGTCCTCCTCGTCCTCCTCGTCGTCCTCGTCGTCCTCGTCGTCCTTGCTCAACTGCGACCCGCGATCCACAGTGTTCTCTGCCGGACCTCAACCACGACCATCCACGCCCAGTGTTCCCTGCCGGACCTCAATCACGACCATCCACGCCCAGTGTTCCCTGCCGGACCTCAACCACGACCATCCGCGCCCAATGTTCCCTGCCGGACCTCAACCACGACCATCCTCGCCCAGTGTTCCCTGCCGGACCTCAACCACGACCATCCACGCCCAGTGTTCCCTGCCGGACCTCAACCGCGAGTATCCACGCCAAGTGGTCCCTGCCGGACCTCATGTAGGAAGATATGGGACAAAGAATGTGCAGAAGAAAGTTAGAAAGAATGTCAGAAAGAATGTCAGAAGATATGCCAGAAGATATGCCAGATAGAATGCCAGATTATATGCCAGATAGAATGCCAGATAGAATGCCAGAAGATTTGCCAGATAGAATGCCAGAAAATATGCCAGAAGATATGCCAGATAGATATGTCAGAAGATATGCCAGAAGATATGCCAGAAGATATGTCAGATAGAATGCCAGAAGATATGTCAGATAGAATGCCAGAAGATATGCCAGATAGATATGCCAGAAGATATGCCAGAAGATATGCCAGAAGATATGCCAGAAGATATGCCCGAAGATATGTCAGAATATATGCCAGAAGATATGTCAGATAGAATGCCAGAAGATATGTCAGAATATATGCCAGAAGATATGCCAGATAGAATGCCAGAAGATATGCCAGAAGATATGCCAGATTATATGCCAGAAGATATGCCAGATAGAATGTCAAATAGAATGTCAGAAGATATGTCAGATAGAATGCCAGAAGATTTGCCAGTAAGAAAATGTATAAATGTCATGGTGGGGATCACACGAAGTAAAGTAATTTTTTTTGAGGGGTCAATCGGTCAATCCCAGAAATGTTGGAGGCACCAATGATTCCAGGCCACCACAGGACTGCGCCGGGGAGAGGTGAACCCGAAGGTGGAACCTGACCTGGGCACAGGTTAGACCTTGGCAATTCAAACAATATATATCTAGAATCAAAGGGCCTGAATGTGTTTCGGTCATTTGATAGTTGTTGCTCAAACTCCTTTCACCAATCTCTCTCTTTGCTTCCAAAAAGCCATGGCGCTGCGCTTCGCTGGCTTCGCCTTGACCGTGGGCTTGGCGGGGGCCCAGTTGCTTCCTGAGCAGCCAGTGGATTTTGATGAGTTGCAGCGCTTGATGGAGAAAGAGGGTCTCACTGAGGGCCAAGACTTTGCCGTGCCCACTAACCTGTCAAACCCGACGATTTGCGACAGCAGTGTGAAGCAGCACTCAGGTAGGGATCTATCACCACTGGCACCCCGGGAAAATTGGAAGTTGTGGGACTGAACATGAGAAGATCTGTGGACTGCTCACAGCGACCTTAACGATTTCAACAGAAATGATTCTGGATAATAGTAAACCATCCAAACTGGCTTTTAATTCAGTTTGGGATTGACTGTAGATTATCCGGGCACCTATGTTTGACTTTCAGGTACCCATGTTGTCACAGCTATCTGCAGGTTACCTGGACGTTGCGGTGGGTGTGAAGTACTTCTTCTGGATGTTTGAAAGCCGAAGCAAGCCTTCCACCGATCCACTAGTCCTTTGGCTCACCGGTGGCCCTGGCTGTTCCTCTCAGTTGGCCTTGCTGGCTGAGAACGGGCCTTGCAACATGGCCAAGAATGGCACAGGTACCGAGAAGAATCCCTACAGTTGGACCAGCAATGCCAACGTCATTTGGGTCGACCAGCCGGCCGCCACTGGCTTCTCCACTGGCTTGCCGCTGGTGCATGATGAGGATGGAGTGGCCAGCAACATGTACAACTTCATGCAGGAGAAAAGCATGGTGCTTTCGTGAAGGAGTTGTTCAAACAAATAGCATATAAATAGATGCATACACGCACGTCCAAGATTATAACTATATATACGTATATACATTATATCATATATCTAGATTAATCTAGATTATAATTTATATACAAAGAACGACAATCACAAGCTGCCAAGCTTTGCGTCGTACGTACACGGCGTCGATGTTTTTTTGCTAGATTCTGCTCCTTGCTAGATGCCATTGTGGCTTTGCTGACCAGTATAGCCATATTTTGGAAGACATGTCACTTCCTGCGGGAGGAGTTCTACAAGGCTTTGCCGCAGTACAAGAACTTGGACTTCTTCATTTTCGGCGAGTCCTATGCAGGCCACTACGTCCCTGCCGTCTCGCATTACATTTGGCAGAAGAACCAAGCGGATTCAGGCAGGCTTGGGCAAGAATCGGTTTTGCAAGGAATGTTGGTTGACATTTAGGCATCAGGTATCATTCATATATGCCTTTGCACAAATGGATTGCAACACATTTCTGTTCAACCAGATGTTTCAATATGTTTTTAGCATGTTTCAATATGTTTCAACATGTTTCAATAGGTTTCATGATGCTGGGAAAAAAATGGATTCCAATGGCTAGTCAACCAGATGATCAGATGCCCTCGCAGGCTTCAAGGTTCCGTTGAAGGGCCTGGGTATCGGCAATGGCCTTACAGATCCTCAGGCTGGCAAAAAAATCTGAAAATTTGGATGACATTGGATCGTTTCACACTGAAAATGACAAAGTGGTTGGTTGTTGCGGTGGCTGTCTTTAGCACTTCAATATACTTTGATGCTGTCTAAGGATGATGAAAAACAGATGGCTCACGTTTGTTTTTTCAACGGTCGCAGGTCCAGTACAACTGGTATCCGGACATGGCTTTTGATGGTGGCAAGTCCGAGGGAGGTACTCTTGAGAAAGGCTGGCCTGGCTGTGGTTGGGTTACTCCGACATGGGGTCTGAAAAGCGGGAAGCCCAAACTCCTTGGGTTTATGGCAAATCCATGACACGATAAACTGCCATTCTGTTTTGCCCAATGGCCATTTTCGAAGTGTAATGGTGAAAAATCATGCCTAATTTTTTAAATCATCATTTTAGGCATCACACGGCAAGTTTGGGTGCCACTCATTTCGAGCAACTCATATCATTGGATGTCAGCTATCCAATAGTAGAGACACTTGACACTATGTGTATTCAGTATGGCCCTAGGCCATAGGGTTACCAAGCTGATTCGCAATCAGCAGCCAGCTCTATCCTTATCTCTCATGCAGTACCATTACCCTATTGTATCCCTACTATATAGTTGAAATGTCCTTCCAGCATTTGTCAGCTGTGGAATAGGTTACTAAGTCTCTAAGAATCACCCCATGGTCCATCAAATTAGAAGAATTGAATGATGGGACAATTGACACCAGAACCCCCTATATTTGATGGTAACAACCATGCTTTCCTTTAGATGTTCCCTTAAAATCCTTTAAACCAATTAATTGAACCATTGCGCAGGTGTCATCGGACGAGTGGGAACCCTCGCCATGAAGGCTGCCACCGTCCCCTGCGTCAAGCAGATCGCTTCCTGCAATGCTGGGGACGCCAACGCGTGCACCACGGCCTATGCCATTTGCAACTACGGTGAGTTGATTCCATACCAACTGACTGGACACAACCCCTATGACATGCGCATCAAGTGTGAGAAGCCCCCTCTGTGCTACGACTTCAGCAAAGTTGAGACTTTCCTGAATGACCAGAAGACCCAGTCTCAGTTAGGTGTGAACAAGAAGTGGGGCAGCTGCAACCGCATTGTGAACATGGCCTTCCAACATGACTGGATGAAGAACTACCAGAACAAGCTCCCTGACTTGTTGGGTGCGGGTCTCCAAGTGCTGATCTATGCCGGAGATGTGGATTACATCTGCAACTGGCTGGGCAACAAGAAATGGAGCCTGGCCATGGATTGGGCCCACAAGTCAGACTTCAATTCGGCTGAGGACAAGGATTACCAGGTGGAGGGTCAGAAAGCTGGTCGCTTGAGATCTGCCAAGGGCTTCCATTTCATGCAAGTCTTCCAAGCTGGCCACATGGTTCCCATGGACCAGCCTAAGGTAGCTCTGCAGATGCTCAACGACTTCATCCAGGGCAAATTCGATGCAGCAACTTCCATTGTGGTTTAAGGCTGAGCAGATCTCACAGATTTCACAGTTGTGAGCTCGGCCAAGGGTTGTTTTAGTGACAGCTGCAGCTTGCGCTGCACTAAGCTGGCAAACTCTCTGGCTTTCTCTGACATCCTAGAGAAGACTGATAAGACAGTTCTGAAGTATGTGCACATGATATCAAAATTCGTTGATGATTCGCTCCCAGAGAGTGTTGCTGCCTGTTGCCATTGAGTCCTTGCCATTTGGGTTCGGGCTCGTGGAAAAAGTTGAGCTTGTTCACAGCGCAAGACATCGATTTTTTTTCAGTCTGGAAAGCTTCAATTTTTCGTCTATTCATACTCAGATGGATAGCCACGTTTACCCACAATATGGACCAGTCTTCTTGAAGTCAGAAATTCTGGTCTGGCCGATCTGGCATTCAATCTCCATGGCTCATTCTTCGGAGGCCTCATGTGCAGAATGGGATTTTATGGGAAAATTGACACCTGAAAGCCCTACATTTCATGGGAAGACCATGGTTTCAACCTTGAACAATTTCAAACTCCAGTGCGGAAGGAGCCAGCTGGTGACCCACAGGTGTTGAACCAGCAGGTGCGCGCGTGGCTTCAAGCAGTGTTCGAAAAGTGTTCGAATTCGTAGACTTCGCCCCATGGGTTTCTCATGGTTTCTCCAAAAATAGGCTACCCCATGCTACCCCACAATATCCCCATGAAAATCATGAAAATTGCACAAACTTAGTCCCCCATTTTTCTGAGACAAAGCCGTCCAGCTTTTTCCAGGCAGAGACGCCCCAGCGACAACCGCCGCTCATGCCTCGCGAGGTCAGTGGGCAATATCATCTGTGAAATTTGGGGTTACCCTAGTTTAAGACCGACCCACATGGGTATACCAACCTTGTAGAGCATGAGTTTGACATAGTACTGGTACATGCGGGTACAAATATGGGCCATATGGGTACATGAAGATGGGCATAAGATGGGTATACAATCATAAATCCATTGAACCAAACATGGCTACACACATATGGACCAGGAGGACATAGCTCCATATGACAAACGCCAGAACTAACGCGAGGATCCAACCAGTAGAGAGGGGTATGCAATCAACAAAAAGACGGACATCAACAATTTTCGGCTGATCTTATGAGTTTCTTTTTGGTATAAAACAGACTTCCACCAAAGCCTCTGAAATCAGACTATGAATACAGATGGCCGCTGCCACAGGCGGCCAATTCCACCTCCTCTGCATGGCGACTGAAGGAGGTTGGAATTGGTCGCTTCAATGGATTGGTTTAAGGGAAGAACTACAGGACCCCTCCTGTAGAATTTTAGTCGAGCCACTCCATTGATCCTTGCAATTTCAAATGGGAACGATTTCATATTCGGGAAGGGCTTGTTGATGACGATGAGTTCGTCGCGTTTCTGGTCATTTTCCCTCTGAACACTGCAATTATGGGGTATACGGTATGACTTTGAGACGACCGCAAAAAGAACACCCCCGTTGTTGGTCATATGCCATTAGATGACTATGATGCCTCAGTACAGCCGGTAAAAATCCCATGTTCGGTGGTTGAATCACGTGAAAAATCTCTATGTTGTCAAGTCGCCAAAGCGAGGCCGCACTCGAAGCCTTGATCGTCGAGGCCACAGAACTTTGTGGAGCTTGAGAAATACCAAAGAAACGATATCTTAGCATCTTTAAACTTTAAGATAACATAATAGACCTATACTTGTGGGTGGAGTTATGGTTAGCAGCAATACCCTGAAGTAATCTCAAACCTCCGAATTACTTCACTTCGAATGATCCCCACCATGGCATTTATACATTTTCTTACTGGCAAATCTTCTGGCATTCTATCTGACATATCTTCTGGCATTCTATCTGACATATCTTCTGGCATTCTATCTGGCATTCTATCTGGCATATCTTCTGGCATATATTCTGACATATCTTCTGGCATTCTATCTGGCATTCTATCTGGCATTCTATCTGGCATATCTTCTGGAATATCTTCTGGCATTCTATCTGGCATATCTTCTGGCATTCTATCTGACATATCTTCTGACATTCTATTTGGCATTCTATCTGGCATATCTTCTGGCATATCTTCTGGCATCCTATCTGGCAAATCTTCTGGCATTCTATCTGGCATATCTTCTGGCATTCTATCTGACATATCTTCTGGCATTCTATCTGGCATATCTTCTGGCATTCTATCTGGCCGTTGAGGTCCGGCAGTGCCCACTGCGATCTGGAAGTCGCGGTTGAGGTCCGGCAGTGCCCACTGCGATCTGGAAGTCGCGGTTGAGGTCCGGCAGTGCCCACTGGGATCTGGAGCTCGCGGTTGAGGTCCGGCAGTGCCCACTGCGATCTGGAAGTCGCGGTTGAGGTCCGGCAGTGCCCACTGCGATCTGGAAGTCGCGGTTGAGGTCCGGCAGTGCCCACTGCGACCTGGAAGTCGCAGTTGACCTTCCGGCAGTGCCCACTGGGATCTTGAGCTCGCGGTGGAGGTCCGGCAGTGCCCACTGGGATCTGGCGCTCGCGGTGGAGGTCCGGCTGTGCCCACTGGGATCTGGACTGCGAGGAGGAGGCGGAGGAGGTGGAGGAGGAGGAGGATGCGGAGGCGGAGGAGGAGGAGAACAGCTCCGATAAAATCTAACAACCCTCACCTGGCAGGTGGGGAAAAAAAATCCAACCACAGAAAGACTTCATTTTTTTAAAATGAATTTTAGAAATGCATTCTTTTCGTGACCCCATCGTTTTTTTCCTTTGACGCGTTGATCTCTGTGGATGTCCACGTTTTCCAGGTCAAGGTAGTGCCGCCGTTGGAGTGCAGCATTTGCTGTGAGATGTTGGAGTCCAGGGAGGCGATTTCAGCCATGGAGATGAAAACTGTCACAAACATTCTATGGTTGCTATGGGAATATGCTGGGAATATGCTGGGAATATGTTGGGATTCTCCGGATGATGAGGTCTCAGATGCCCAGGTGTGACCAATGATTACCAGATGCGAACTGGAATAGCTATGTAACAATTTACCAGATGGTATTTGATATAGCAAGTCCCGGGAATACACACCTCAAATTGCACGTAAGTATGGCCAACAAAATTGGGATATATAGAACCAACAATTTTGGAGATATGGTTAAGATTGCACAACTTATGAGGGGATGGGTCAATACCTACCACCCATTCGGGACGGCTATCTTTTTTATTTGGACCATTGGATTGACCGGTAGTTGAATGGGTTGATTTGGCAACTGGTTTATCCCCAGGTCGGGTTTGTTCTTTTGGGATATTTTGTGAAAGTGTCGATTGGTGAAAATCTTGGTCCCGTGATCTGACGGGAATCGGTTTGACATGTGACGAGCCTGCAGGTCGTCGCACTTCCATGTGAGACTCGCGGATGTGGAGACCCGTCTGAAGTTGAAAGGGGTGAATGGTGCAGCGCGTTGTCCATTTCAAATTTTGCAAGGGGTGTGTCACCTGTGTGTCCAGGTTTTCATTCAAAAGGATTGTTCGTTTCCACAAAAACAGAGCATGGTGCATTTGGTTTCCGTGGCCATTTTGACTCAAGGGCTCAAGAGACGTGGACGACTTGGATGGTTGCGCTATGGCGTGTGTTTTTGAAATCGCCCAGAGTGATGATTCCCCAGTCGTGTCACCAGTAAGATCAGAAAGAAGTCTGACACCAAAGGTGCCAGACGCACTTGTTCGAGGAGTTCCTTGTCGCTGCCTTTTGGCTGGTGGCGGTAGGCCTTTCCGCGCATTTGGCAAAGCGGCGACTAGACATGTGAGGCAGTGCTCGGGCTACAACATTTTTGTCAGCCATGACTGGCAGACGTCCCGTTGGCTGAAATATGCTTCGTTGCTGGTACTTCTCAACTCCAGAGCAGCTGCTCTGGCTACACTGGTTGTGAGTCTTGCACTCGGTTTGTTGGTTGCCTATGAGGTCTGGCCAAACTACAGCTGGTTGGTGTCAATTGGATACTTGACATTTGCCCTATTCTTCCTCTTTTGGCAACACATTCGGGACATTTTCTGGGCACCAAAGCTGGCTTTCCTCGACAAGTTGTGCATCCCACAAGACGATGAAGAAGTCAAGGAGAAGTGCATCCTTGGCCTTGCAGGCTTTTTGAAGCGCTCTGGAAAGCTGGTGATTCTCTTTTCAGAATCCTACATTGGCCGGCTTTGGTGCATATATGAAATCACTGCTTTTATGAGAATGCATTCCAGCCAGGTGCATATTGATATGCAGACTGTACCGGTTGTTCTGCCTTTGCTCATTCTACTGCATGCTGCTTGGTGGTTCGCAGTCAGACTTCTCACTTTCCTCATTTGGCAGACCTCTCAGGGAAGCTCTACAACGAACGTACTAGCAGTTGTTGCTGTCGGCCTTGCTGTGATGTTCTTGATCACATATCCTTTGCAGGCTTGGGTTGGGAGGCGGTTGACGAAGAATTTGCAAAGCCTCTCCCGGCAACTGCGAGAATTTGATGTCCACGAAAGCAAATGCTCTTGCTGCTCTGCTGGCCATGAGAGGCCAAGTGGAGAGAGAATCCCATGTGACCGGGATCTCATCTATCAAAGGCTTGCTGACTGGTATGGAAATGATGATGATGATTTGCAAGGAAGGCTTGAGAGTTTCAACAAAGCTGTCCGAACCCAATTTGCTGATCGGATTTTGTCAACCTGGGCGGAGCAATCCATCCCCGTCAAGGGTTTTATTTGTACTGTCTTCAGTATGAACACTCCATTCTTGATCATTAGGATTCCAGATGCCATTGGGCAAGCCCAGCAGCAGCCTTCAGCAACTCTTGCTTGCATCGTTGCAATCAACGTGTTGATTGTCGGCTGGGGATACATTTGGCCAGCAATGCTTTTCTACCTCTGGGCATGCAAGACTATGTGGACACTCACCCTGCAGTACAATCAATGGCCGATCTTGATCGAAGTAGGCGCTGCCGCTTTTGTCCTTCTTTCTTGGGGCATCGTTGCTGGAGCCTGTGTTTTTTCGGTGCTTTTCCGATGGTGGGCTCCGCTAGTTGTGTTTGTTGTGGTCATGGCTCTTGGCCTCTATCTTCTGCGCTTCTTCACCCTCCCGATGAAGCGATGTCGGAAAAACACAGTTGAAAAACCTTCGGCAGAGTGTGCCCAGGTTGTCAGGGATGACATGTCGAGCTTCTCCATTTGAGAACGTTTCACTGGACGAGATGTCTTGTGTAAAGACTCAAAAAGGCAAGACGAGATGTCTTGTGAGTCTTGTGTCTCACTCAAGTCAGGCTGGGCGGCCAGGCTGCAAAACTCACGGTCCGCACTTGCATACCCAGAACCAGAAGCACAGACCGTGCGAAGATAGTTTTTCCAGAATGCGTAGCGAAGGGTTCTCGTTTTACTTTCCTTTGGGGGTCTGGTTTCACAACCGTTCGCAGCACGACCACAAGTGGGGTCCTCTGGCAGTGCCTGTGGGGAATGCTGCAAAAGTGGTCACTTTTGGAGGTTTCAAATGTCATGTAGCCTCGTTTCGTAAGGCAGGCGTGGCACTTCGTGACATTCCAACATGGTGTCAGAAGATGACTTGCGTTTGTCGCGGCAGGCGCAGCGCTTTGGACATGTCCATGTTCATTTCCGGTGGCAGCGCAGCACTTTGTGAAGCGTGTTTTTTTGCGAATCGCATTGTTAGGGGTGCGTCAAGTGGTGAGAAGGTGCAAATTGTGTGGCAGGCGTGGCGTTTTGTGACATGTGATGAAAATTGACAGAAGCCTCGCATGAAACATTGATTCTGAGGTAGCAGATTTCGGGGTTCATTAGGAAATATTTGGAAAAACCATAGGAAAACGTCAATCTTGTAGCTACAAACCGTCAAATTTTGAGGAAGTCTCGTACGAAATGCTCCTTTTGAGCCTCCTACCCGTCTCATCTCGATTGTCTGGTTTTGTTGTATGACAGGCGCAATAATTGTTTTGGAGGCGGTTTCAAAAGATGACTTCATGTTTGGTGGCAGGCGCAGCGCTTTGGACATGTCCATGTTCATTTTCCGTGGCAGGCGCAGCACTTTGGACGCGTGGTTTTGCGTGTTTTTTTGCGAATCACATTGGCCGTGACAACGCAGATTGCGTGGCAGGCGTGGAACATCGTGAGTGAGAGTGTCCTTTTGTGTGGTAGGTGTAGCTTTTAGTGAAGATCCATCGTGTGTGGACTGTCATTTTGCATGGCAGGCGCAGTATTTGGGCCACTTTCGTGATTGCAATTTGTCGCTTTCTGCAGTGGCACGGCTGCGCAGGGTGTGATGTTGCAACTTGCCCCTCTAGACTCGGCCCTCACTTTCCACTAATACATTGAAACCATTCCACTCCACTTTCTACATTCCACACTTCAGACTCCAAACTTCACACTGCACTGCGCAGTTGACATTCCACATCGGTATTCCACACTCTACAATCTACACTTTAGACACCGCACTTCACACTCCACACTTTACACTCCACATTTTACACACTACACTTTACACTCTGCACTGCGCACTCTACACTTTACACTTCACACTCCACGCTCTACACTTCACACTGTACACTCCACACTCTACACTTTACACTTTGAACTACAGACTCCGCACTCTGAACGTTACACTTTACGCTGCGCTCTCTACGCTTCAGACTTTTCACTCTTCACTGTGCACTGTACGCTCTACCCTCCGCACTGTTCACTTTACACTTTACACTCCGCTCTCTACATTAAACCCCACACTCCACACTCCACACTAAACATGTTACACTTTACACTTCACACTTCACACTCTACACCTTGCACTTTACACTTCGCACTGTGCAATTCACACTCCACACTCCACACTTTACACCTTTGAATTTACGCTTTCCACTTGACACTTTACACTCCACACTCCTAACTTTACACTCTACACTTTACACTCTACACTTTACACTACACACTTTACACTACACACTTTACACTTTACACTTCGCACTCCACACGCTACACCTTACACCTTACACTTACGCTCCACACTCTACACTCCACACTTTACACTCCGCACTCCCCATGCTACACTTTACACTACACTTTGCACTCCACACTCTACACTTTGCACTTGACTCCACGCTCTACACTTTTCAGTTTACACTCTACACTTTACACTTTTCACTTTACAGTCCACGCTCTACACTTTTCACTTCGCACCCCACACTCTACTTGTACACTTCACACTCTGCATTCCACGATTCTTGGCACTCCACACTCCTCCACCCTTTACACTTTGAACTCTGCACTCCACACTCTACACATTACAATTTACACTACGCACTTTACACTCCGCACCAGACTCCACACTCTACGCTTTACACTTTGTACTTCGCACTCTACACTTTACACTCCACACTTTTCACAGTGCACTCCACACTCTACAATACACCTTACATTCTGCACTCTACACTTTACGCTCCGCAGCCCACACTTTGAACTCCACACTCTACACATTAGACTTTACACTTCACACTCTGCGCTTCACACTTTACACTTCAAACTCTGCACTTCACCCTGTACACTTTCACTTTGCAATTAGCACTGTCAACTTTACACGCCACACTCTTCACTTTACACTTTACACTCCACCACACTTTGCGCTTTGACCTCCGCACTCCCCACTCTACACGTTACACGTTACAAGTGACTCTTTACACTTCACACTCTACGCTTCACACTTTACACTTTACACAACGCACTCCGCACTCTACACTTTTCACTTTGCACTACACTACACGCTCTACTCTTTATACTTTACACTCCACTCTACACTTTACGCCCCACACTCCGCACTTTGAACCCTACTCATTTTACACTTCAAACTGTACGCTTCGCACTTTACATTTTACACTCTGCACTCCACGCTCTACACTTGTCACTTTGAACTCCACACTCCGGACTCTACACGTTACACGTCACACTTCACAGTCTACGCTTCGCACTTTACACCTTACAATCTACACTTCACACTGTGCACTTCACACTCTACACTTTGCACTTTAAAATTTACTCTTTACACTTTGCACGCCGCACTCCAAACTTTACAGTCTACTTTACACTCCACATTGGCACTCCACACTCTACACCTTACACCTTACACTTCACACTCGGCACTCTACACCCTACACTCCACACTCTACACGTTGCACTTTACACTTCACACTCTACGCTTCGCACTTCGCACTTCACAATTCACACTTCACACTTTACACTTCACACTGTACACTTCACACTCTACACTTCACGCTTTGACTTTGCACTCCGCAGTCTACACTCTACACTCCACACCCTACTCTTTGCACTGAACACGCACTTTGCACTTTGCACTTTACACTTTACACTTCGCACTTTACACTTTACACTTCACACTCCACACTCTGCACTTTACACTCCACACTTTGCACTCTACACTCCACACTTCACATTCCACAATCCCCATTTCACACTCGACACACAAGATTCCTCACTCAACACGCCATGCTCCGCAGTTTACACTGGTACGGTAACAGGGGAAAAAGGTACAAAACAGTTGAAATAACATGTTTCACAAAAGTGTTTTACGTGACTGCATTCGGGTTTGTTGGTTGGTTTTGTTTTTTTCCGTGTACTGGGTTTCTCCATTTATACCAGGTATACCAACTCTTTATTGTTTACTGTTGGCTGGCTGGGATAAGGTCGCAGTGCCGACCACTGGCCGGCAACTGCATGATTTTAACGGGTGGGTCCGCTCCAATCCGTCCGTGCCGCTCGAGGTTCATATTTTCATGCCGAGTGCATTCGTGTGCAGCTCAGCCGAAGAGCCTCTCAGTCTTGCAGATGTCCTTTTCAATCAGTAATGGTACATGAATGCACGAACTGGATGTGAAACACTACGTATGTAATATTATATAGGCCTCGAAATGGTTTACAGGATAATCTACAGGAACCCCCTGCGTATGGTTGGGGTAAAACACTACTTTCCTGTAGATGTCCCTTTAAATCCATCCATTGAAGTAAAGATCTGGCTATCTGAAAAACTTTGTGGTGACCAAGGGCCGTGGTTGGAGCGGAACCCAAGCTGTCCCCTATGCCGAGATGCCTTGTGGGGGTCTCTGCATTGGTTACGTAGATGGATCATGAACCCGCAGTTGGACTGGACATTCGTGATCTGCTTGGGGTAGGCAATTTTGACCTCACCAATATTAAAGACAGAGTAGCTGTGCAATGTCTGGATAGAATCTGCAGACCCAATCAATTTGTGGGTCAATGCGTAAGACAATAAAAACCACTTGTTTTTAAATCTGCTATATAGATTTCCCCTAACAAGACCAATCCTCCTTAGATCAATTGCTGGTTGGACAAACACAGACAGACAGACACAGGCAGACAGATACAGACACAGACAGACAGATACAGACACATACAGACAGATACAGACAGAGACAGACAGACACAGACACATAGACACATAGACACATAGACACAGAAACACACAGACACACGAACACACAGACACAGACACAGACACAGACACAGACAGACAGAGACAGACAGACAGACACAGACAGAGACAGACACAGACAGAGACAGAGACAGAGACAGACACAGACACAGACAGAGACACAGACACAGACACGGACACAGACAGACAGACACAGACACAGACACAGACACAGACACAGACACAGACACAGACACAGACAGAGACAGACGCAGACAGACAGACACAGACAGAGATAGACGCAGCCAGAGACAGACACAGACACAGACAGACACAGACACAGACACAGACAGACACAGACACAGACACAGACACAGACCCAGACACAGACGCAGACGCAGACACAGACAGACACAGACACAGACACAGACACAGACAAAAACACAGACACAGACACAGACACAGAGACAGGTTATGTAGATGGATCAGAAACCCGCAGTTGGACTGGGCATTCGTGATTTGCTTGGGGTAGGCAGTTTTGACCCTGACCAATATTAAAGACAGAGTAGCTCTGCAATGTCTGGATAGAATCTGCAGACCCAATCAATTTGTGGGTCAATGCGTAAGACAATAAAAACCACTTGTTTTTAAATCTGCTATATAGATTTCCCCTAACAAGACCAATCCTCCTTAGATCAATTGCTGGTTGGACAGACACAGACAGACAGACACAG